TTCAGTCAAATTCGATCTGATCCATTGTAACTGTTAACAAAAGTAATGGTATCGATCAGAAAAAACTATAATGTTTTTAAACTCTCGTTAAACTACGTTTGTTCAAAATTTTATGAATGACACTGTCCTTCGTTTTGCTCAGAGTTTTGTCTTTCAGAAACTACTATGAGCCATATTGATAAGAATATCAGTAGAAATTTCAAAAGATGCTAACGTAAAAGATCATGTGGTATATTCTAGTAAATTATCTGTTTCAAGAGAAGCGGGATAAATAAACTAGACTTGACAGTTCGTTCACGTTTCTGAAAACATGCAATAATGTTAGGGATGACAGACAAGTCATCCACGAAAAGATCCTAATCAAAAATTCTTCAATTTGTATTGTTCGATGTTGAATTTGATTCTCATTAATTTTGTCATGTGAAGCATTTGTCATAACTCTACCGGAGTAATCATTTTTAATTCTTACAAAGTGTCATGAAACAGAAATCTATTTGTCGGATGAGCATATATTTGCATTCACAGCCTATATTTTCTATATTTAGATTATAGTTTACTGAACTATTAGATTATTATTTGTTCAATTTTTATCTAAGTGTTCATTTTGACGATTCTTATAGAGCGAGCGAATTTCTTACCAAATTTTATCCCATATTTATTAAATGTGATTGTGTCTAGATATGTTTGCATACGATATTTTTTTTTGAAGAAATTATCAGTTGTAAATGTCTATTATTTTATGATGTTCGATAATTGTCGAAGTATTTAATAAACCTGTACCTGTGATGGGTTATCTAGAGTATGCTGTGTGTGTATATGTAAGTCCGGTTGTACTGTCTCTGATTATATGAAATTAGTTTTGTTAACAAAAGAAATCTATTATTCTGAACTTTTTCTTTATCCCTTTGCATTATTTTTCATGTTTTGTCTGTTTTTTCAAGAAAGCATTAGAAAGCCATGCCATAGCTTAATAGATAAGTCGCTTTCTTATTTTCTTTTAAATCAAAATTTTGTGGTGCTTAATTTGATAATTCAACATAATATTTGTGTCTGCAATAGTAATTCTGTATTCATAGAAAAGATTCTTGTAAACAGTTTATAAATAGAACAAAAACTTTGTATATATTATTACAGAGAAATATCAGCTTGATTTCAATACAAATTTTCTTCTTCCAATCAATTACAATAGATTTTTTCAATTCATTATCAAATATCATGTATTAGATGTTTTATTTTGAAGAATCGGCAGCTTCAAAGTTTTTCTTTTCTTTTTTTCATGCATATATCTGTAGGTGTAGCTAGCTTTCTCACTATTCTCCTTGTCGGAAATATTTTATTAAATTGAATAAATATATATCTGCTAGAGAGCTGTGTTGGATTCAATTTCGAAACATGAAAAAAATATTAAACTTTCAATGTTTGATTCAAGCAATTAAAGTTCACTGACTACCAAAATTAGTTTGTAATACGATTTGTCCATGTACCACGATACTTCGCTGATCAAATTTTTGAAAAGTCTTTTTTCAAGGTGGACCGTCCTAAATGGATTATTATAACTAGTCCATAGTCTTGACACAAATATCGGACTTGATTATGAGCTTGCCCAAGCTGCTAGAAAACTAAATCTTTTCCCATTAGATAGACTAAAATCTAAAAATTAAAAAGGCATACGTCAAAAAAGAAAAAGAAATTTATGAATTGATTAACGGTCTGAGTTTTCGATTTTCAAAAGGCGTCAAACATGCCGCGTAGGCCACCAAAAATGAATGACTTTCCTGCGATTTTAGAGTCATGAGCATTTTCATAATTTCATTAACATTACTCCTTTCTACAGGTAAAATAATATACTTCTTTATAATAATAACTCAACGAATGGTAAATCTATTGTTACCCTAATTTTCTTACCTCTGTTCGATGTTCTGATTTGATAACATTTGTTGGAAATGTAAGGCATGTTATTTTAAAATTTAAAACCGTTTGTTTTTAATGCTTCGAAAGTAACATTAAACTAACCGAAAATTCGCTCTCGATTTTTTAAAATTTTAACTCAAATATGTTACTATTGATATATAGTGTTAAAATGTATTTCTTTTTTATTTCAAAGCTATATATAGTTGAATAACTTTAAAACAACAATAGAGCAATGTAAATATTTAAAGGCGACACTGCTCTATCTTTTTACAAAATCCATGAAAAATTATAGTCACTTTTCTTCTTATGTGTATCACGAGTTTTGAAGATGAGATTGGTTCCCATTGAAAACAAAGTGTTTTCTCAATTATTATTTGATAGACAGATGGCCTAACTTCTCCGATATCAATCTACATAAGACAAACATCGATAAGTGTTTGTATGTCAAAAATATAAAGATTTTACTAAATGCTTCCCATCAAGACCTTTTTTCAAGATGGAAGAAGCCAATGAATTATTTTTTCTACTAAGAGTGTCATAAACAATGAAAGATTGAATTTATATTGATGATTATACTTGAATATAGTCATTTGATTCTGTTCAATCTTTAGTTGATTGTTATTTTCATACAAATAGGTCAACCACAAAGAATTTTCAGATGTTTATATGAATTCATCATAAAAGACATTAGTCATCAGCATCATTGGTAATGAAGATGCTATAATCATCATTGCACTGATTACTCAATTTTTCTCGACTTTCTTCGACATTGATATCAGCAATTTTTTAACTGGATGTGGGTGGATGTTAATGTTCTCTCTATCTATTCTGAGCAATACCCATTCCCACACCCAAATACACAGAGAATGGAAGAGTGTAGAAGAAGTCAGTAAGACCGTAACAAAATTCAGATGATTTTTTCCAACTATATGCACTATCTTTAAGCACAGTCACATATATAACTATGAAAAATTAAAAGTTTTCTATTGTACCTCGAAATAATTATGTCACGACATCAATGTTTATTATGAGAAAAAAAAAAGTTTTTTTCTGAACATATGCCATGAATTCCTTCAAGTACACAATTCATCTATTTCGAACAGCAAATATTCAGTTACAGCACATTTGAATGAATGCACATAATCATTATTTTGTGCTCGGCCGTAAGAAAATATCTTTTCTTTCTAAATATTTATCATTTTATTAATCGAACGTTAAAATATGGTGCTGTGTTACCGTAGAATTGCTATAGCAAGAAAAACAAAACATTTATACTTTATATTGGGTTCATTTCTTATCAAGATCAAAGAAGGATGAGTAAATATGTATACAAATATGTTCCATATCACTATTGCCAAAATGAAATTGTTTCTTATTGATATTTGAAACAGATCTTTATATGCTTTTTAATTTTATTAAACATTAAAAGCAATACATATTGATTTTTTCCACAAGTCTTAGAACAAACATAAACTTTCAGTTATAAACATTTCAATAGTTTTTGATGATAGCATACGACATCGAAACACACAAGCAGCATAATATGAGGGTTTAAATGAGCAAACTATTTACGATACAATTATACGACAAGAGACTATTAGATTATATCATAGAAGGCACTCAGAATAGCGCCATGCTTTTAAGTATTGGTCATACTTTTGATTGTATACAAAGTTTGTGGTACGGTACCAGTTCGTGTTTGCGGTGCAATTCTGTGATTGTGTGTTTTACACATAATCATTGCAAAAAATTCTTGTCGAAACTCATCAAATGTAATCATATACAATGGAAATGATAATATATGATAAGTATAGAGCAAGCCATCGAAAAACCTCAGAAGAGTAATGTCTGATGAGATAAAAAATGCAAAGCCTACAGTAGCTGGTATAGTCATAATTAAGAAGAGAAATGTTGTAATAACCAATGTAATTGAGATAGATCGGTGTTGAATGCGGGAATTTTGAATAGTACTTGTATGACGAAGACGAATTAAATGATAAATAACACCACTATTGAATGTAACCATCAATAGAAATGGTGCACAATTGTATACTCCTAAATTAATATAATCCCATAGTGGATATATTTCATATGCCCAAGAATACAGAGAAAATGTGCCATCTGCTGTATAATAGCAAACAAAAAGAAAAAAATGAAAGTTGAGCAGCAAAAGAATGCCCATAATGCACGCTATTATGATAAGAATGTTCTTTGATTGACTGAACCATGTTCGATGAAGACGACTCAATGATAAATATCGATCCAAACACACAAAAACACGAAGCCAAGCTGATGATTGAGCAGCAAAATAATTAAGAAATGAAAAAAATCTGCAGAAAGGTATATTTAATTTTTGAATAGTAAACCCATGCATAGTAGCAAGATAATGATCAATATTCCATCCATATAACATGAGAATATCAAAGATAGCCATTGCTCTCATATAATGAAGTGTTGGTCTTGTTTTTGTGTTTCTGAATGTTGATCGACAAAGAACAATAAATGTTAAAATATTGAGTAAAGTACCAACAATAACCAACGCTAAGGAATAGTGAGCAGCAATCAAAGCTGCTCTTGATGGTTCAGTTGTTGTTATTGATGTTGTATTGACACTTGACATTATGTAATTAATTGCTAGTCGCAAAAATTTGTTTTTCTTATAGAAACTAATAGATCTACAAAGAAAAGCTAACTAAGAAAGGTGTATATCCTTCTTCTGTTTAGTAATATACAGCTTCGTTGAAATCAGTAAACATTGTCAAAAACTTATTTGTATTACTTACTATTTTTAGAGTATACTTCGCACAGAGATACAAGTTAATAAAGAAATATAAGTTCAGAAGCACGTAGTTTAGAGTTAATTAATGAAGTCTATTATTCATAATCATCTGAACAACGCAGAAAGATAAACAGTTAATGCACGTAATTGAGACAGATTTTGCACAAATAGCTGTCTCAAACTTTTGTTGTGTTGTCAATTAGTCCTTTTCCAGTAGTATTTGGACGAAAATATTTGAGCGATGTTTCACACGTTTCCTACGAGAAAATCCACCAAAAAGATAAGATTTTATTTTAGTTCTATACATATCTTGAATGATTCAATTAAAATATTGTTCGGAAAATCCTAATATCTCGGTGAAAAATCTTTAATTAGGTTAAAAGTTTGAATATATAGACACACCAATATATTCTATGTAGTAGATTGCTGTTCACACAAATCTAAGATAGTGACTGTGCACTTCTCTATGGTGGTACTTCGCAACTAATGTGTAAAGGCTGATATAAACAATATGTAGTTGTATGAAGTTTTCGTTAATTAGAAGAAATTTACTGAATGAAGCTTTCCGTTTATTTGAAAAAGCACTATAATCAAATACGTGAAGTGTCAAGAAATAGAGAGATTTAGTCACCATAGTGATGCCGTGGTGAATAAATAATTGCAGAAATTCTTAAATGTTGTCTTTGATCCATTTTCAGGCGGCATCTATTAGAGGGTGTTCGGAAAGCCATTGACCAAAAAGAATATTGTATACCTCCATCATGGCACTTTCAGTTTTCTTCGAAAAAACAAAAGAATTTCACTGTTTGCTTGTGCATTCTAGATCAAAGACCATGCTTCTTTTGCTGTTCTATTTCGAAAAAACGTCAAAAGTCTAAAAGAAAGCTTAGTTTTCTTTAGAAAGAAGAGAACAGGTACTATCTGTATCAATGAACACCTTCTAATTATGAACAGTCTGAGAATTACATATAGGAGTAAATCTCTAAACCATGTTAATCTAACAAAATTGCAGTCAAAAGATAACTTCTTTTAAAATATACACAATGGATAATGTCTTGTCATAAAGATGATGAATTCCAGATGTATTTTTTTGTGATTTTCTGATGAATTCATATTATTGCATCATTATGGTGAATGAATCAAATATTTAATTAGCTATAAATAGTATTTTTCTACCACTTAGGTCGAAAAGTCATATGTTTTAATGATGAGCTTTGTGATTTAACTTATGCTGTTATCGAAAAATGGTATATATAATGTGTAAACAAATGATAAGAAGTCTATTATATATTGTGTATATCTGCGAGAAAAATTCAAATTCTCCTCGCATTTAAAACTACCGATTAATCTAGGTCAAATCTATTCTAAAATCATGATGAGTCGAAAAGAATTACAAATAATTTCATGTCATAAGCTTCTTCTATTTAAAATATCTTGTTATTATATTAGGTATTTTTTTGTTTGTTACTCATAAAAAAAAATCTTTCTTGTGCATTTAATTTATTTTTATTTTACTAATATAAATGATGCAATTATCTTTACTGTATAAGATAAATATAAATTAATATTCCTATATTATTGAGTCCAAAACTCTTTATATGAAACTTTGTAAAATACTGCGCAAATACTCAGAATAAACTAGCAATCACGAGCATGAATAGTTTTCTTGAAAAGCGTACACTTGTTGTGGAATCTAATTCCTTCAGAAGTTCTTCATAACAACGTTGAAAAAAACGGAACACTCAACAAACTCTCAAAACAATACTATCAAAATGTCCATTAGACAAGTTTCAAAATAGGCGATGATCTTATGTCAAATGTATAGTCAAGGACACTGTTCAAGTACTCACTCAAAAGAAAAACTGATGCTTTGTGTTTTAGTAAATTGTGTAGTATTTTTTTGAAGTAACGGCAGATTATATAATCTAAACTCAACATGTCATTGACGCCTCCGAAAATGTGTATGTATTGTCTCTGCTTAGGATTTTCTTTCATTTAAGTGTCAGTCAAAGTTTTATCTTAAATGATAGATGACATGAAAGACGTTAAGCATGAAAAATTTATTCACCAACGAGATAATCCAAAGTCAACATTCTTGAATTTATATTGTTTAATGTCGAAGATGATTATGATTAATTTTATCATTTGAAGTATCTGTCATAATTGCAGTGAAGTAATCATTTTTAAGTCTTACAAATTATTACCAAGCAAGAATTCATTTTCTAATGGACGTATGCTTTCATTCATAGTACACATTTGCTGTTTATGAAATTATAGTTTATCCTTTGTAGAATTTTTCATTTATATATACATTTGACTATAAAATTTTCGATCATTACAAGTACATTTAATAGACCTGTCCGTGTCATTGCTTTTCACGGGCATGTTGAATACACATGTATAGACCAAATTCTATCTTCTCCGATATTATGAAATTAATTTTATTGATGTAAAATGTCTTTAATTCTGATTTTGTTTTTATCCGACTGCACTTATCTAAATAAGCATTTCTAGTGTGTCATATTGTCTGCTTTTCAAGGAGCATTAAATAGTAATTTTGCCTAAGTAGAAAAATCGCTTTCTAATCTTTGTTTTAATCAGAATATTGTGATTTTTAATTTTACAATTGAGAAAACTGCGAAAATAAATTCAGTCAAAGATTCTGATGTCTGGATCCATAAATTTCTTTCTGGAAACTTGTCATCACCACTATGATGATGATTTTGAAAACTTTATAGATAGAACCAAGTTTTGTTCTTTCAGCCTACTTGAATAATTTGAACTATTTATTACCAGATTTCATGCATTATATCTCTTCTTTTGAAAAATTGATGTTTGTAAAGTATTTCTTTTCTTTTTTATCAGTTGTATATCTCTAGGCAAGGTTAACTTCATCATAACTCTCCTTGTGCAAAACATTTTATTGAATAAACCCTATTCGAAAATGACTTGTTGGCTAAACACTAACTTATTTGTTACTGCTAGTAGAATGCTTGAGAAAGAAAAGTTATGGTCTATCGCAACAGATAAGCTTATATACAACTATTTTCTATGCACTTACGTAGTCAAAAAGTCATTTTCGAATAGAACTCATTGAATAAATATGCATAGATCTTGTTTCACATTCAATTTAGAAACATGAAAACAATATTAAACTTGTAATGTTTGATTCAGATAATTAAAGTTCATCGACGACAATAAATAGTTTATTTTGCAGAATTCAGTTGAGTTTTCAATAGTTTGTCCATGACATATAGCAATATTTCATTTATCTTGTGTCTTAAATGATTAATCAGTAGCTTCTGACGAACAGATTAGCAGTTGAACTTTTTCTTTTATCTTTCTTTTTTCATTTAATCATTACAATATATTCTTCTCAGGAATTATGATACGTGAAAAAATACATCAGCAATGATAATATATTTATATGAGGATGTATTCAAGACTTGGCAATTATCCCCTTTCTGTACTTCTTAATGTATGTTCTATAGGTTGAATCTATTTATTCAAAAATTTAAATACTGCAATAAAAGTAGAAAAATCAGAAAATATTAACCGTTTTCTCTGAGAGACTTCAAAATTAAAAATTATTCATTACCATATTTAGCTACATATTCTCTTTTTGTATGGTGAGGCTAGACATGTAAGAAGCTTTTGAATTATTTTGTACTATAGACCTGGTAGGTCCACCATCAACAAAAAGCAATATATATCTAAATATGTTATTAAATAACTCTACAGACTCTCTACTGCAATATTTTGATTAATAATAATTGCAAAGCAATTTTTTTGTAAGTCATGGACTTATGATCTAATGCTTTTTTGGAAAACACAGAATAAGACATTAAAAATAATTGTCAAAATGAAAATAGATTAAGAAAAAAAAGCTGCAAATAAACGAAGTTGTATGTCAACAAAATTCATCTATGTTAAATATCTTGAAATTGTTGAACATTACAAAGTCAAAAAATATGATCTTTACTGCTATATATATATAAATGATGATTACTTCAAAGGATAAATGTCATATGTAACATATCACTATACTAACACTTTAATAACTGTGAGATAAAATGATAATCCAAACAATGAAGTCAGATAGAAGTTCATGCTAATAATAATATCATAGTTCTCTGAAATATAATCTAAATGGAGAACCTATAGATTATGAATACAAAAATATACCCATTAAGAAATAGATTACTGTTTCGTGATAATCTGCAGGATTTTAAAATGATTATCTTTTTGCAATTATGGCAGATGCTTCAAACGATAAAATTAATCGCAATTAGCTTCAATATCAAACAATATATAGTTAAGAATTTTTGCTAAAGAACATCTCTTTGATGCATTATTTGTCATTCTTAACACCTATCATGTCATCTTTCATTCAAGATAAACCTTTGGCAGACATTAAAATGAAAGGAAATCTTAAATAGAGAGACTAGATGCACATTTGCCGAAATATCAACGATCTGTCAGATTCAGCTTATATAGTTTGTTGTTGTTTGAAAAACACAATATACTAATATATAGAACATCACTTTTTCTTGCAAGTGGATTCTTGGAATAGAATGTCTTTAACTTTATATTTGACGTAAGACAATCGTAGACTTTTAAATTCATCTAATGGAAGCCTATTAAATTCATCTAATGGAAACCTTTTAAGTTCATCTAATGGAAACATTATTAATTCATCTAATGGAAGCCTTTTAAATACTATTTTCGTAAGACTCTGTTGAGTATACTAGAATAGGTCATTCAATAGTTTACTCAACTCGTAACACTTCCATACTACCAAAAAGAGGTACTCAATCACTATCTTAGATTTGAGTGAAATTTGGCCTACTTGACAAAGTGCATTGCTTCATATATGTAGGTGCACATCTTATGACCTTATGAGAAATTTTTCTACGAAGATATTAGGATTTTTCGAACAATCTTTCAATGAAATCTTCCAAGATGCGTATAGACCTAGAATAAAAATTATCTTTTTGATAGACTCTCTCCGAAGAAACGTGCAGAATACTGCTCAAACGTTTTTTTGAAAACCAACTGAATAAGGACTAATTGACAACACCATCAAAAGTTTGGGATATCTGATTGAGCAGAATCCGTTCTGCATTACATGCATTGGCTTTCTTTATCTTTCTGCACTATTTAGATAGTCATAACTTATGGACGTTATTAGTTAACTGTAAACTAATAAGGAGTGTAAAAGTTTTTAGAAAAATGTCATACTCTGTTAGACCATATTGCTAACTTCTAAATCCATGAATTCTATTTTTGTTAGAAAGAGTAATGTCTGAGCTACAAACTTTGTATGAGAAATATTTTTCCAGAACGAATCAAAGAAGGCGGAAATGCCAAAAACAAAACAACTCTAAAAACGTTCTTGCAAGGGGAAAAGTTTGTATTTCACAATTATTTTGAACTTGTTTAGATCTGTTCTTGGCTATGTATTTAAAAAAAAATTTGGACACTGAAATTTTTTGTAAAATGGAATTTTGCAAGAACGTCAGTCTCAATCTTCAGAATCCATGCATGAACTGGATTGTTGATGCGTTATTTCTTCGAAATATGTCAGACCATAGATACTTAGAAGGAAAGAACAATTAAAAAAAAATTTTTATTGCTGCATAGCAGTCAGTTAGTACGAACGATCAAATTGCCTAGTCTCTTGCAAACATAGCTATATCTTGTGATAAAACTAAGAGTAAATTTAGCTTCCAATCCGCTATTGAAAAGAGCACTCTTAACTCTAGAAAACTCAACGTGAAACATAGTTTTCCATTTCACTTCTAATATAAAAAGTTTAATGGAACTAGAGAGCCAATGTTGCGCGATGGTGAATTTACAAGAGCTTTTTTGTAGAAATGTTTTGTTTCTGGCGCTTTCTCCTTGTTAAAGTCATTTTGAAAAAATATATCTCATATAAAATATGTAATTCAGACATTACTCTTTCTAATAAAAACAAAATTCTATTGGTTTAGAAGTTGACAATATGATCTAGCAGAATATGACATTTTTCCAAAGACTTCCACCGCTTACTACTAGAGTAAGTCATTCTATCAGTTTCTCAATTTGTCACAATTACGTCAAACTCTTTCTTTGTCATAGTTATTTCACAGTCGCTGCAGTAATGACATAAGAGTGTTCTTTATCATAATTGCGCTCTCCACTATTTACTCCCACAGATTTCTTTTCTTTTGGCCTCTATCAATGAATAGAAAACTTTATAGAACTATAGATTATTCATAAAAAAATTTTCTGTGTGAGTCGTCGCGTATCACTATAAAGAGGTGCTCAATCTTTATCTTAGATTTGCGTGAAATTTTATTTATTTTATAGAACACGTTAGCCTTCCTATAGATTCAAATTTTTAGCATTATTAGAGATTTTTTCACCGCGATATTAGGATTTTTCAAACAATTTTGCGAAGGAATATTTCAACATGTATATCGAACTAGAATAGAAAATCATCTTTTCAATAGATTCTCTCCGAAGAAACATGTGGGATATCGTTCAAGTGTTTTTTTTCCAAATACTACTGAAAAACGACTGACTAATAGCACAACCAAAAGTTTGGGATATCTGATTGAGCAGCATTCGTTCACAGTTACTTGCAATGGCTTTCTTTATCTTTCTACACTATTTAGATAGTTATGACTTATGAACGTTATTAATTAATTGTAAACTATGTGCTGCCGACGCTATATTTGCATTTTAATCTCCTATTCTCATACGAAGTATATTCTATGAGTAGTAAGTAATAGAACTGTTTCGATAGCATAACTTGATATCAGTGAAACTTGATAAAATATATTAGAAGCATTACAATATATTTTCACTAATCAAAATAGTTTAATGCATGTTCTTTCATTGAAATAGTCTTCAACATCGATAGATATTGTTTGATTTATGAAAGAATACATTTTTAAATGACTTCTTCAAAGAAAAACATGCAAAAAACTCAAAAATAGTTGATCAGTCAATAATGTAGAAGTTGTCTCAACGGACAAACTATAAATCTTCTTCTGAATCGGATCCGATCAGCCGTTTATCGTAAACATTTACATCTTGGAATTTCATGAAAACATCTATAATCATTTTATTCAAAATTTAAGTATGATTTTCTCAAACCAATATTATCATATGAAGAACATAGAGACTTGATACTGATGATATAGTATCATTGTGTAGTCAGATAAACACGATTTTTGTTTTCTCTGTCAGAAAGTTTCTTACATACGATTGCTGTAATGAGTTCTAAAGATAAGAGTTGTTTCGAAAACAAAAAAATATACACCTTTCTCAGTCAGCTTTTCGTTTGTAGATCCACTCATTTGCATAAGAAAACAATTTTAAATAATCAACAATCCATTATATAATGTCGGATGTTAATACGACATCAATAATAACAACCGAGCCATCAAGAGCAGCAATAATTGGTGCGTACTATTCGTTAACCTTGGTCATTGTTGGTACTTTACTCAATATTTTAACATTTATTGTTCTTTGTCGATCAACACTCAGAAACACAAAAACAAGACCAACACTTCATTATATGAGAGCAATGGCTATCTTTGATATTCTTATGTTATATGGATGGAATATTGATCATTATCTTGCTACCATATATGGATTTACTTTTTCAAAACGAGCAATACCTCTATGTAGGTTTTTCTCCTTTCTTAACTATTTTACTGCTCAATCATCAGCTTGGCTTCGTGTTTTCGTCTCTCTTGATCGATATTTATCATTGAGTCGTCTTCATCGAACATGGTTTGGTAAATCGAAGAATGTTCTTATTATAATTGCATGCATTATGGGCATTCTTGTTCTTCTCAACTTTCATTTTTTTCTTTTTGTTTGCTATTATAGACCCAATGGTACGATTAATATTGCATCTTGGCTATATGCTGTCTATCCACTATGGGATTATGTCAATCTAGGAGTATACAATTGCGCACCATTTATATTAATGGTTACATTCAATAGTGGTGTTATTTATCACTTAATTCATCTTCGTCATACAAGTACTGTTCAAAATTCACGCATTCAACATCGATCCATCTCAATTACATTGGTTATTACCACATTCCTTTTTCTAATTATGACTATACCAGCTACTGTAGGTTATGCATTCTTTTCTACAGCAGGTTCTACCATTTTGCATTTATTGGATGGTCTTCTTTATACTTATCATATATTATCATTTGCATTGTATATGATTACATATGATGAGTTTCGACAAGAATTTTTCGCGATGATTATATGTAAAACAAACAATCAACGAGTTGCACCACAAATGCGAACTGGTACTGTACGACAGATATTGACTACAACAAAACCTGGTACCAATACTTGAAAACATGGCGTTGTTCCGAATGCCTCCTATAATGAAATCCAACAGTCTTGTGTTGTATAATTGTATCAAAAGTAGTTTGCTGCTGAAAGCTCTCAGTTAATATCGTGTTCTGTATTTTTATGTCGTATTCTGTCGTCAACAACTATTGAAATACTTGTAACTGAAAGTTTATGAGTGTTTCAAGAACCTTTTGTAAATGTGAGATGTATTGTTTTTAATATTTAATAAAATCAAAAAACATATAAACACTTGTTTCGAGTCATCAAAGAGAAAAAACTTCATTGATACAACATTGACATGAAGCATATATGTATAAATATTTGTTGAGATTTCTATAGTTTGCTAACTATTGAACAAAATGATCGTTTCTATTCCCATCTTTCTTTAATCTGAATACGAAATGAACCCAATATAAAGCATAAATGTTTTGTTTTTCTCAATATAGGCATTCTACTGTAACACATATTTATATTGTAACATTCATATTACAGTATGATAAATATTCAGAAAGAAAAGAGATTTTCTTACGATTGAGCACAAAATAATGATTATATAATCCCATCGAAACTTGTTGTAATAGTTTTCTGTATCTTGTGCAAATTGAATGTTCACTTTTCAAAATAGATAAATTATATACTTAAAAGCATTTATGAAATTTATTTAGAACAAAAACTTTTTGTCAAAATCATCATCAATCCAGTAGCATAACAATTTCAAGATATAATAGAAAACTTTTAATTTTTCATATTTGTATATCGGACTATGATTAGAGATACTCAGTATACTTAGAAAAAATTCTCTCAGGTTTTTCTACTTCTGTAGATTTCTTCATCAATCTGACATGTTGTTTGGATCTCGCTTTTTTGCATCTAAAAAAGAATCATGTTATTCGAAAACATGACAATTGAAAGCGTATGAAAAAATAAAGTTCTATTGAGTATGCATCCTTTTTCTTGTGAATAATTCTGTAGGAAATTACTCGAATAAGTGCTCACTAGATGAGTATTTTCACTAAGATAGACTTATTTTTTTCATTATTCACATTATGTAGACAAGCCGAGAAAGAGTCTGATTTTCCCTATTTTATTCTTCTGTTAAAGTTAAATTCTTCGATTTTTTTCATCAAACAAATCAATTAAATGATCTAAAATTTTCAAAATATATAATTGTTCATATTCTTGTGAAATTCTTTTATTAGTCAAACAATAACATCATTTTATAGTGAAATCTGTTAGAATGTTTATCAATCCTTTAAGAATTGACTTGACTTTAGAGAAAAAAGTTGAATTTCTGTTGACCAAATCACTTATAGTTGAAAATTAATTTAAAAAATACATAATGTGTATTTTACCATAATAGACAGAAAACATAGTTTCAAGAATTATAATAAATAAAAACTCAATAATATATGAGAAGGGAAATGAATGCAAAAAATATAAAAATGTAATCGAATATGAAATGTCTGAGAACAATCAACAATACAAAGACCTGCATCACAATCTTTACGTATGCCGCGTGAATCAATCCGCTTTATAGAGTGTTTGACTAGTATTTGCACGTATTAAACAAATTTTCTAAGAAGTGTTTCTATTTATTGTTCAAGATACAAGAGATGAAAAATATGTAACAGTAAGTCTCGTTGGTTGATAAGTCAGTGCAGGATGATCTTCTATAGATTTTCAAGCATTATAAGATCTGTAGGATTTCATGAATAAATTATAAATGATAATCTACAAATTTAAGTTTCTTTCCATTATTGACTTTATAAAGCAAATATCAGTTCGATGTTGATAGATTAAGCATATGGAAACATAAATTTCTAAAATCATTTTACAAATCTTCTTAAACACAGCTGCACCACTGGTATAAATATTTAAATAAGAATCAATCATTAAACTTAGTTTTTGAATTGTTACCTTATTTCTTTCGGTAAATATCATTAGAGATTTTTGAATATCCATAGAAGAACTATGCAAAGAACTCCTATTTCAGATAATATTTCTAGATGAAAAGAGAATTTCAATAGCATATAAAATTAATATATATAAAACTTATATCGGAATACTCCATATTAAAAAAAACCTCAGTTTTAGTTTTTTTGAAGAGTTTCTTTCATTAGTCAAATTTCATAACCATATACAATATATTTGAGTTCAGTCTTCAAAATGTTAACATGAACAATAAGTCAGTCTTGATTTTCTGTACTTTATTTTGATTGTAGTTTTATTCAAGTGCGCAAATTATTTTCTACGCATTTAAAATATCATATGAAAAAAAAATGCTTACATAAAAGACCTCATCATTTTTTATTCATAAATAGGCTAAAAATTACCACTTCATTCATTGACAAATTGATGAAAGTTACTCACAGTATGACTAAGATAAATCAAGCATCCTATTGTTTTTGACATTTTCTTTTTCAATGATCATATAAACTACAAAAATAACAAGTTTTATTTATTTATCGAACTTTTAATTAACTGTATAATATATAGACCATAAAGAGTTCAACATTATACCAACTATATGATACTTATTACTGTTCATTTATAATCATGTATGAGGATGTTTTCTATCGATGTTCTTAAACTTTCTAATCACAAAATAAAGTCAATTAGTTTGATATTAAAATTTCATCTAGATATTTGACTGTTATATGTTTCACTTCAGCATCATGAAGGTTTATTGTGTCAAGTTGTATATCATATATAGACTTAATATAAAAGCCATACATAGAATAAAAAAGACGTAATAAGACTAATCTTGTTATAGATATGACCTAAAAGGAATGGTTCATGAAAGTACGTTTTTAATTGCATGAAAAAATATGAATATATTCATCAAAGAAAATAGAAAGTAATTAGTATCGTCTGGTTTTTGTATTTCAAACGTAGTATAACATTGGTTGACGATGTAAAAATTAAAAGAACACGTCTCCGACGAGTCTTCACACAGATATAATCATTGGTTTTAGCTTTCTTGTAATCAGAACAGAAAATATACTAATATGACGGAAACCATGATTATTAAGCCTTTCAAATACAAGATTATCAATCTCTGTTTTAAATTTTGCTTCTTCGAATTGAATGAATAGTTTTTCAACGAAAAGTTTTTTTCAAGTGAATCAAATAGGATTGTCTATAAAATTATTAATTTTTTTGTAATATTTCAAATATTGATTTAAATAAATTTGAAGTCAAATATATGTTTGAATTATAAAGAATTATATGAATTGATAAGGAGAATAACTCCAAACTACTTCGATATGAACTAAAGTCGGTTTTTAACGACCTGAAAAGGTAGATAGGAGTCTTGAATCGAGACCATATGTAATAAGAGAGAGTTTTTTTTTTCTTTAATTCTTATACAAATGTATAATGTCATTCAATAGATTTCGATAATAATTAGGGAGAGAATAATTCTCTCTTGTTCGGTTCCTTCAAATTTTGAAAGAACTATACATATGTAAAATTGTTTTATATTTCACAACAAATACTCCTTCGTTTTTGAAGGATTTCTAATTCTCATTAGAATTTATAATGAAACTTATACTATTCGTTGCCTTCTATGAACAAATTTGATATTTGGTATCAAATCATTTAAGACTTAGGAACCAATGATCAATGAACAGCAACATACTATTAACTAATTGTATGAATTCATATCTGCAATCGATATAAAGTTCATTTAACAAATTATCTCACATTATCGCATCCTTAGATTAAGATAGAAGAACAAAACAATACAATGTATCAGAACGAAGTTGACAGCTGGAATTTTTAATTTAAATTACTCGACATATATAGCTGTGTTCATTGACTTAAGAATAAATGACTCTATGTTATTAAAAAAGAAATCATTATTCCTTGCACATTCATTAAACATTATTATCCTAGATGATTTTAATGCAAAATACCATGATTTACAATGTTTAATGATCAACATTGAACTTATCCCGGAAGAATATCACTCAGCGTATACGATTGTAGTATGGAAAGATCAATACTTTCATCTATCCCGATTGACTTAATTCATTTAAATTAATAAGTTTTTATTGACAGTAAATTTTTATCGTACAGTACAAACGATTATTATTCTATCTGTGATTCAAGCTTTGTATTTAAAAACTTAAAACAGTCATCAAATAAATCATAAAATAATCAAAACTCTTCAAACTTTAATAGAATATATAATGAAATACTATAAGATTTTTATTAAGTTTATGTAATGAGTTATTCTTAGCAAAAATATGCAACTAATTAACTACTTATTCTTAAGATGTTGATGTAAAGCTGTTTTTATTTGCTCAGCAAGTGAAACATATTTTTTCTTTAATAGTCTAGTTCAAAAAGTTATCAGACAATAGTGACATACTTTCAAGATCTTCTGCAATAAATTAAATAATCAACAACATACAATAGCGTCTCAAGTGTATTGTACATTTATTTTCTTGAAGTTGCTGATAAATAATAATAAAAAACCTTTACTAAAATTTGCGTGCCTTCAATGCTTACCAGTGGATATATATTAAATTAACAATCATTTTCTAGATAGCACTTGTGTTATCGATGAACATTTATCATCAAACACAAAGAGTAAATTAAAAATACTGCAAAGCATATTTAATATAGTATATATAAATTGTATCAAATAGACAACCAAAATAATTTATATACTTAGATTGCATAGCAGATATGAAACGCAGTTTCCACACTTTTATTACACAATGAATCGCAAAAAACAAAACCTGTTCAAAGTATTATTCATGCCATTCATCGAAATATAGATATTTTTATGGCATTTCTGTGATTGTATATCAATATATATCTATTTACATTTCATTGTAGATTCCACTGTAGTTTGCAAACATACAACATTAAAATTCACACTTGTACATCAAAGAAAAAAAGCTATCTGAATATTATTTTTAATGGTAAAACCTAATCATGACAATTTTATTCATACTACAGCATTATAACTAGTCAGAAATTATATTACAGCATTTCCAATGAAAAAGAAACATAAATACATTGATTACGCTTGAGCTTTTCATGCCATCCCTTGAATAGACATGACATCGGAAGATGGTTTTTGTTTTTTGTGACATAGCTACTTAATTAGATGCATACTTGATAATTTCCGGGGTCTTTGATGAAGCTGATTATACAATAGAATGAATATTTACCTTACTCGTAGAAATACACGCTTCTAGAAGTACAAGAATAATTATTAAGTCTAATCAAAAAAGGATTATGACAACATACCATCTTTTACTGTTAATCAAAGCCCTATTGTGCTTTTACTCTCAGTTGATATTTTTATGTGTGATCTTAGAGACAGAAAAAAAACTGAGATGAAGCAAGTTTTGTAATCAGACTATACCATATAATATTTATATCTATAGGAAGCTCAGCCAACGGAGTAGGTTTACACTTCATCGTCCACATCTAACTATCATATCAATAATATTTTCTTTACGAAAAGACATTTAAAGAATTATTTCTTTATACGATGGCAACTAACAGTAGCATATCCACAATAACAGACGATACTCTATCGAGCGAACAGTTTATTGTGGCTCATTTTTCTTTGATAGTGACAGTTTTTGGCACTGTCTTCAATTTACTAACATTTTTTATTCTCTGTCGATCAACATTCAGAAACACAAAAACAAGACCAACACTTCATTATATGAGAGCAATGGCTATCTTTGATATTCTTATGTTATATGGATGGAATATTGATCATTATCTTGGCACTATGCATGGATTTACTCTTCAAGAATCAACAATACCTCTATGTAGATTTTTTGCCTTTCTTAATTATTTTGCTGGTCAATCATCAGCTTGGCTTCGTGTTTTCGTCTCTTTTGATCGATATCTATCATTGAGTCGTCTTCATCGAACATGGTTTGGTAAATCGAAGAATGTTCTTATTATCATTGGATGCATCCTTGGATGTTGTACTTTAATAAATGGCCTTCTTTTCTTTTACGGTTGTTCTCAAAAAGCAGATGGTACAATAAGTCAAGCTTCTTGGGCATTTCAATTATATCCACTATGGGATTATGTCAATCTAGGAGTATACAATTGTGCACCATTTATATTGATGGTTACATTTAATAGTGGTGTGATTTATCATTTAACTCGTCTTCGTCATACAAGTACTGTTCAAAATTCACGCATTCAACATCGATCGATTTCAATTACATTAGTTATTACAACATTTCTCTTCTTAATTATGACCATACCAGCTACTGTAGGTTATGCATTCTTTTCTACAGCAAGTTCTACCATATTGCATTTATTAGATGGATTTCTTTATAGTTATCATGTATTATCATTTCCATTGTATATGATTACATTTGATGAGTTTCGACAAGATTTTTTTCAGATGATTACATGTAGAACAAACAATCCAAGAGTTGGACCACAAACACAAACTGGTATTGCACCAAATACATTAAATACAAAAAATTAATAACGAATACTTGAAAATAAATGTTTCATTCTTATTTTCTTTTATCATGAAATCAAATATTTTTTTTTTATTGTACAACTATATTTCTGTGTAGTTTGCTTCTTATAGTAGTTGTATTTTGTGGTTTTTTTTGTATTTCTATTTTGTACGCTGCCATCAAAATTTATTTCAATACTCGTACTTGAAGTTTTCTATTCTTATCAAGGCTTATATGCAAGTTTAATTTTGTATTGTATTTGGTATTCAATAAAATATAAAAAGATATATTAAGACTGGTTTCGAATTGCACATAAAAAAAAAGTTTGAAGTGACAATACTTGCACAGAGTGTATTTATATAATCACAATGAGAATTGGTAATGAAAATAAAATGATTTTGCAGAAAATTCTATACAATATGTTTTTTTTTCCAAATATTTGGAAAACAATAAACTTACATGTTTCAGTCCAGTGTGTTTATTGTAAACAATGGATACAAATGAAATTATACAATATAAAACTTGAAATTATAGGAAATTCTTGAATATTACTTTCTGTGCTTAAAGTTTATTTCCGTTCTTTTTTCATCAACAGACTTCGGAAGCATTCCTGCACTTATATCACTAGCAAACATATCATCTATCAAACTTTTAATTCTTTCTTTATGATAAAACAATATTGATCTCATTTATATAATTTTATTCATTAAAAAAAAAAAAAGACTTGATCAATATACTATTATGTTTTAAATTCTCTCATCTCTCCATCAGTTACATTTTTGATTAAATAAAAAAAGAACAAAAAAAATCACCGATATAAAATTAAACGAAACATAAAGAGCAAAGAATTAATATATCACACAAAAAAAAGAAATATTCTAATTACGAAACTCGAATACTATCACGAACATATGGTGAATCAATAGATGTAAATAAATTCGAATAATTATTATCATTTGTTACTAATAATTGTTGTAAATGAACAAGAATAGTTGAATCTCTTATATGTAATAATATTTCTTGAAAATTTTTCATTGATATTGAATTAAAAGATTTTTTTATTAAATTTTTTCCAAGTGTTAATATAAATTGATCATCAATTGATATTAATTGTTGAAATTCCTTCCAATAAATAATTGAATTTGAATTTTTATTACATATAAATTGTTCTATTAAACAATATGGCCATAATGCATGTTCATTATAAGCATCAGCTATAATAAATGCATGCCAACAATGTTCAAAATTTGGTAATAAATCACGTATTTGTTTTGAATTTAAATTTAATATAATAAATCCTTGTTGTTTTTGTAAAAATTCTAATTGTAATGATATAAGACGTGCTTGTTTTAAACATTGTTCACTTTGACGACAACAATCAGCTAAATAAAATGTATCAGCTGCTTCAGAATAATATTGAAGTAAACTTTGTAATGTTATTGACATTTCAACTGATGAATATGGTTGATTAAATTGAAGTGTTTTCATTAATTTTTCTCCAGCATCACGATACATAACAGCTAATTCATGATGCATATTTAAATTCATTGATATTGATGTAAATGTATGTTCATCATTTGGATGATATCGTTTAATATAATCAAATAATGCTATATTTAAACGTTCATCATTAGTACTACCTATTGTTGATAATAATAAATCAAATTGATCAGATTGAAATAACATATCAAATATATATATCATTTCAGAATATTGTTCTAAACCCATTAATAAACGAATAAGTAATTGATAACCATTTAATTCATTTAGTAAAAATGCTACATGACGAACATGATCAAGTACTAAACATATACCTTCCATATGACATGAATTAATAAAACATGTATGTGCATAGATTAATAATTCAATACGAATACGAAGTAATGCTGATGAAACATCTATTAATAAATAAAAATAAAAATAAAAAAAAAGATTTTTATTTAAAATTAATTTATGCAATCAAAATATAGAATAAATGATGTAAAATTTTTGTTTTTTTTTTTTTGCGTAAAACATAACAACAAAACTCGATAGTTTTATTGTTAGAATTATTATTACAAAACTGTCTAAAAATATTTATTAAAATCTATAAACAAGAACATTATCAAGTTTATAGGACGAATAATTCTCAAACTATGTAATTGAAAAATGATCCAATCTATCAAAAGTAAATTGATAAAATTAGATCATTATATAAAAACAATATTTGCAAGAAAGCTGTTAGCACAATCCCTTGTGGGATTAAAAATGTGAAACACGATGGATCTATTGTTACCAATTAAATGGAAATCATTTTGTTTCATTTCTTTGCGATACATTTGTAGCTAACCATTTATCTGATGCTTTAGAACCAGTTTCTCTGTCACTGTCTGTGATGGGTCCAAAGCCTGTCTGTCACGGTATGTGATGGGTCCCGGGCCTGTCTGTCGCGGTCTGTGATGAGTTCCAAGCCCTGTCTGTCACGGTCTGTGACGTGTCACGTTAGTGTCTGTCACGGTCTATGGGGGAAAGGGGGGGGGGGGGGGGGGAAATTTCGATCCCTAAACACTTCACTCCTTTCAGATCGTGTTTCACAAAAATGAACAAGAAATACATGACGATATTAAAGGTTTTATATAGATAAATACAAATACATGTTATCTCAAGTATTTGTAGATTCAACAAGAACTAAAATTGAATCTTTAATTCAATACTTTAGAATTGAGTTTACGTTTTAAAAATAACGAATTAACAGAACTACTCAAAAGTTATTAGTTGAAATTGATTGAAGCATTTTGGGAATGAATAATTTATGATTTCTATCCGATGATCTATGATAGTTTCGTTCATGATCTATAAGATTTTTTTGTTTCTTTTTAGAATATTTATCTTAACTAACCTGGTACATTCAATGTAAAAAATTCATCTTCATACATTTTTGATCTTTCAACAAGTTGTTTTCCAATAGCATCATAATTTTTTTCATATAAAAGTGAAATAAATTGTTTATATGATTCAATATTATTTGGATCAAATGGCCAACAATGATAATCATCATTTGGATCATTTTTTTCACAACGTTTTAATGTTTTATCTGTTTCATCAACAATTAATTCAACAAGTTGTTGACTTGATAATTTTAAATATTTAGAAAATTTTTCAGCTAATTTTATTTTTGTTGGAAATGATGATGATGGATATGAAAGAATACGTTTTAATATAATCCATTCATCATTATGTATATTTGATTTTAATAAATAACATGAATCAACATGAAAAAGACGACTTATTTTAAATAATATATTTATTATTGGTATTAAATGATCATCATGTGATGTTCGTGATAAAAGACGTTCAATTAATTTTTGTTTTTGATCATCAATTGTATTTGATGAATCAGTATTTGTTGTTGTTAATGACATTGTTCGTAAAACATTAGTTAAATGTTTTTTATTAAATTGACCAATACCATTTATTTCTGGAAGTTGATCAATACGTGTACGAATATCAGATGGTGATAAAATATTTAAATAAAGACGATGTGCATAAGAAAAAACAGTTAAATTATATGATGTCATACGAAATTTATATGCTAATTGTAATGCAAGTTCAGGTGATGAACGTTGTAAAAATGCATTTTCAGTTATTGTTACACATGAACGAAGATCTTTATCAGATAAATTATGTAAATTTGTTGCACCAGAACTTGTTATTGAACCTGATGATCGACGACTTGATATTGCACCAAATGATGGTATATGTGAAGATGAAGAAGCACGACTTGATGGACGACGATTTGATTGTGTATTTGAATTTTTGTCTTAAAAAAAAACATGATATACGAATTTGAAAATTTCCTTTCATTTAATTTCATAAGTGAATATTTTATATTATAATAAGTTTTCAATTCAAACTTATCAACTTAATCCTTTTGAATCTAAAAATTGGAATTTATATAACATTACTAATACTAATTACATAAAGAAGAATAAATCCTAACAGACAATAGGTGTTTTACACGGATAATCGATCTTTCTTATTACTAAAATCTATCCTCGATATCTATTCTATAATAGTTTATTTGCACAATAATTAGAAACTATACTATTAGAACATTCAAATATCTATTTAAGCCTTATTATCATTATCGTTCGTGTACTATAAGAAAAGAGTCTCGTGTCTGTTCCACTTGGCAGATATAGAGTTGTATTCATTAGTTAGTGTGTTATCCAGAGGGGTGTCCGGAGAGGGGCGGCGCCTTCCCATCCGAGACTCGTGATCATCGCGCGACGAACTATATGACTTGCCCTCTCGAAAAAAATTTTTCGCCCTCCCGGAATTTCAAATCGCCCCTCCAGAAAATAAAAAACTTGGATAAAACACTGTCATTAGTCTTTGACATCTTCGGCTCCCGATTGCTAAGGCTATAAATAGGGTAAGAATAGTAGCCAGAAATCTTCGACTTGAGATTTGTATTCATTAATTTCGTTCGAAATATATATATATATGTGAGATGAAATCGTACCTATTGATACTGCTGTTGTAACTGTTTCTGTTGTTGATGTAACTTTATTTGTTGCAAAAACATTTTTTAAAAGTGCTGCTTCAAATTCATTTTCAGCAATAATTTCTGATTGTTTATCATCATCAATTAATTCATCTTCAATTTCAATTTGATCAAATATACGTAAATAATCATCAAAATCTTTTGATATTAATTTTTCTGTTGCTAATTGATCAAGTAAAGAATTTGAAAATAAACTAACCATATAATCAAGTATTTTATTAACAATTGGTTTATTTTGATATTCATGTATAAAACTAATTAATGTTGTCCATAATTTATCATTAATTATTTGTTGTTGAGGAATTTTTATTGATGAATAATCATATGGTTCAGGTAAATGTTGTGCTTGATTAGCAAATATTTGAAGTAATACACGTACTAATTTTGATGATGTTACACGTATTGCTAAAAGAAAATCTCCATAGAGTAATGGTTTTTTTACACGTTTAAGTACATCTTGATGTCCTTGACATATAG